GTGGATGTTTGCAAGAGATATTTTTAATCGCCTGAAGGCAAGAAAGAGAGTCAGAAAATATTATATATTGTTTATGTTTGGGATGTCTTTCAATATATTTAAGAGCTGTTAAGATGGCATTTGCTTCTGCTGTAAATATAGAGCTGTTATCTGGTATTCTAGAAGATATTGTTCTGATCCAATGACAGTGGCACATGCCACTGCGCCACCATCCTTGGACCCATCTGTAAATAAGGATTTGTATGTATTATAGTTATTCTTTAATTGATTATATTCTTGTTTATACTGTAATTCGTTAGTTTCGGATTTTTTAAATTTTGTCAGTGTTAGGTCAACTTGTGGCCTAACCAATTGCCAAGGAGGAGAAGAAAGAAGACGGGAAGGAGATATATTCTCCAACTCAATGCCAGCAGCAGAAATATATTGTTGGATTCTTATCCCAAGAGGTGGAACAAGTGAAGGTTTTTATTATACAAGTCCTCATAAAGAGGATTAAAACGCAAGTGTGAGCAGGATTGATTCATTAGAATATAACTTTGTGATATATTGTAGGGACAATTTGATACGGCGAAGTTTTAAAGATGGCTCATCAGCCTCAACGTAGAGACTGTCAATTGGAGAGGTTCTGAAAGACCCAAGACAAAGTCTGAGACCCTGGTGATGGATAGAATCAAGTAGTTTGAGGTTGCTTTACAGGCCCCACCATATACGATGGAGCCATAATCAAGTTTCGAGCGGACCAATGATCGATACAGGTGGAGGAGGGTAGCTTGATCCTCCCCACTTTGAGTTGGAAACAACTTTCAACAAATCGAGTGCCTTCAGGCATTTGGCTTTCAGTGATTTAATATGTGGCAAAAAGTTAAATGGGAGTCGAAAATTAGACCCAAGAATTTGGCCTCCTTAACAACTTTGATGGGAGTGCCATTTAAAGATAGTTCTGGATCTTTATGCGGTTTATATTTTCTACAAAAGTGTAGACAATTAGTTTTGGATTTGGAAAATTTAAACCGTTTTCAAGACACCATTTATTTATTTTATTTAAACACAACTGCAATTGCCGTTCAATAGTATACATATTCCTACCACGACAAGAAATGTTAAAATCATCCACAAAAAGTGATCCATCAATTGAATCGTTTAAAACCTTGATAAACTGTTAATCTTGATACTAATAAAGTGACAGACAAAATACTGCTCTGAGGGACACCCTGCTCCTGATTGTAATGATCAGACAGGGTTGAACCCACTCGGACTTGAAATTGTCTGTCTTTCAAAAACCGTGATATAAAAAGAGGCAAACGGCCTCGCAAACCAAAGTCATGTAAATCCCTCAAAATGCCATGCTTCCAGGTCGTATCATAAGCTTTCTCAAGATCAAAGAAAATTGATACAGCATGTTGTTTACTTACTATAGCATTCTTAACAAAGGATTCTAATCGTACCAAATGATCAATGGTACTACGATTTTTCCTGAAACCACATTGAATATTGGTTATAAGGTTATTGGTTTCAAGATACCAAGTTAATCTATTATTCACCATACGTTCCATGGTTTTACAGACACAGCTAGTTAGAGAGATTGGTCTGTAATTAGACGGATCTGTATGATCCTTGCCAGGTTTTGGTATTGGGACTACAATGGCATTACGCCACGAAGGAGGAAATTCTCCAGACGTCCATATTTGGTCAAATATATCTAAAAGAGTCATCAGACATGGTTCCGGTAAGTGTTTCAGTAGCTGGTAATGTATGTTGTCATCACCCGCTGCAGTGTCATGAGCTTGCTCAAGAGCAGTATGTAGCTCATGTAATGAAAACACTTCATTATAATCTTCACCGCTATTTGATTCGAAATTAAGTTTTGTCTTTTCCTGTTGTTTCTGATATCTCTGAAACTCAGGGACATAATTTGCCGATGATGAATTTTTGGCAAGGGTTTCGCCAATTTTATTTGCAATGTCAGATTTATCAGTTATCAAGTTATCACCATCTTTAAGATGGTGTACAGCTGATTTTGAACCTTTGCCTTTATTCGCTGAACCATGTTCCAAACCTTAGACATTGGCGTGCGCGAATTAATTTTGGAGACATAATTTCTCCAAGATTGTCGTTTGTTTTGTTTAAAGGTACGACGCGCCTTTGCATTGAGTATTTTAAATTTATTTAAGTTATGGACAGTTGGATGATGGCGGAAATAATGCTCGGCCTTTTCCTCGCTTTTCTGGCTTGTCTACAATCAGTATTAAACCATGGTTTTCGTACATGTGGAGTCGTAGAGGACTTGGGTATACACTCATCAGCTATTTCATTTAAAACATCAGAAAAGGTTTGAATGGGATCAGTTATATCACTGAAACATTCAGGTCGTAATTTAGATTGACATAAAGTTTGATATAAAGACCAGTTAGCCTTCGAAAAGTTCCATCTTGTATACGATGGAGAATCAGATGGAGTTATTTCTGAAAGTATAGTTGGGAAGTGGTCACTTCCACAAAGGTCATTATGAACAGACCAATCAAATTCATTCAGGAGGTGTGAATCTGCAAGAGATAAATCCAAAGAAGAATAAGTGCCAGTTGCAGGATGAAGATAGGTGCTTGAATCATCATTAAATATGCACAGGTCATTATTGGAAATGAAGTCTTCAATTATTTTACCTTTAGTATTAGTGGTAGTACTGCCCCCAGAGTGGGTTGTGACTGTTTAGGTCACCCATGATAACACATGGCTTTGGGGAGTTGATCGTACAGTGACTGAAGATCAGTCAGCTGAAGTGTCGATGAAGGTGGGATATACAGAGAGCACAATGTAAAATGCTACACCCAGAGTAAGTCGCACTGCAACAGCTTGGAGATTAGTGTTAAGAGTAACAGGGCTGTGAATTACATCCTGTCGTATAAGGATAGTAGAACCTCCAGTGGCTCTATCACCTGGAGGGGAAAATAACTATAGGCTTCAAAACTGACGTAAGTTAAAATTATCTGTCTGTTTCAGATATGTCTCTTGCAGACAGAACGCTGATGGCGTTAAATCCTGGAGTAATAGCTGTATTTCATTAAAATGTGTCCGGAGTCCTCTACAGTTCCACTGCACGATGTTGGTAGATAGACCTATCTTTTAGGCGGATTTAATTGGGGATCTACCCCGCACCGTTTTCGAGGGCGACAAGCCATGTGCCCTAGAGTGGACGTTTTCGGACACGTCCATGTCCTCAAGTGATCCGTATTTATTAAATAACTTGATTTTATCATCTGACCCCTTTGGGGCTCTGCCACTTTGTTTCTTTGAATCTGGCTTCGGTTTGCCTTTGGTCTTAACAATTGGTTGAACGTTTGACGTTGATTGAGACTGTTGAGTTGACTGAGAAGAGGCCCACGGTCACGAGATGGTTCTGATTGGACTTGGGACGTACCAGGAAGTGGTTCTGCAGTTTGTGTAGATATTGCAGGTGACAAAATCTGAGGAGAATCGGTTGTGAGCCAGGTTAAATTCGTCTGACAGCTCACAGACGATTTGGTTAGTGGAGGAGTTGAATCAGACGATGTTTTAGCTATGGATGCATAGGATTCCTTTAATTTCAGATCGTAAGACAAGCTTTTGGCATCAGTAAAACTAATGTTTTGGGTGAACTTGATCTTATTGATCTCCATCTGCTGTTTCCAGATCGGACAATCTTTTGAGAATGATGAGTGATTTCCTGCACAGTTGGTACATTTCTTAAAGTCACTGTCACAATCTTCTGTTGTATGTGTCTTCTCACCACAGTGAGCACACACAACAGACAATGTGCAAGTACTAACCCCATGACCAAACTTCTGGCATTTAAAAACACCTTAAAGGATTAGGTATGTATGTGTCGACATTAATGTGACAATATCCTGCCTTTACTGATCTGGGAGCATTTGGAGAGGAAAACGAAAACAGGTACGTATTAGTCTGAATGGTTTCCCTGGTTTTACGTGTTGTAAACCGCTTAACGTATGTGACCCCTGATCTTTCATTTCGAAACAATATCAAGTTCAGACATGTCAGCAAACAATCGATCTCTATCTCTGATGATTCCTTTGCTGGTGTTCAGTGTTCTATGAGGAGAGACTGACACTGGAATGCCGACGAATGTTTCCAGTTGACATCAGGTTATTAGCCTGCGATCTTTTGCTGCACTCAACGAGTAATGCACCTGAACGTAAACGTTTGATATTTTTACGTCACCGGCAATGCCTTGTATGCCTTTCTGTATTGCAAAAGGGTTCAATTTTAATCTTGTGCTATCTCGAGTCTCAATCACGAGAAAACGTGGCCAGTAATCAATGGATGTGGACAGTCGTTGTTCGTTATCATTTGGATCAGTGTCAAGTGGACGCTTTGGTTTTTTTAAGGGGTTTCGTATGCCATGGTTAGTTTTAATGGTTCATCATCCGAGCTCCCCACTCCACACCACGGAGTATCACAAGGACAATGCTAAATACAAGTGGGTCTCCAACTTGTAGCACCAAGGATACTCGGATGATATACTCAAGCAGAAAACTAAAAGATTAATTTTTCCACCAGATTGGCCCATGAGCCACCGCCTTCTGGGTATAGTACTCTAGGCAAATTACAAAAAGTGAAATATGTTCAAATTCAAAAACAGAAACATGAAGCCAAGTCATTTCAGAAATATTTTGCATAGTGTCTAAAACGTGTGTATCAAAATATACATACACAGGGCTTGGCATGACCAGCCGATTGATAGAACCGGGCCAGTTCTACCACCCGTCTAGGTGAAGTCAGGGCCGAAGTGGTGTGTTGGGCAAAGGAACACTGTCCCTGGAACCAGTGCCCTCAACCACCAGACTACCTTCCTCCACCGACACAGGGGCGCAACCCACGGCAAACGGGTTGGTGGACCAAAATATCCCCCCCGGGTCCACAACGGGGGGTTGAAAGGCGCTTAGCGTGACCCAGCACCCACCACGAGGAGGTGGCCTTTCATGGGTGCCTCCTAAATTAGAAGCACGGGTTATTGAAAATAAATTCTAACCGAAATAGTATCTGATTTTCACCAGGTACACGAAGCATACAGTTCTCTGGAACAGAATTTATCTTGGCCTTTTGCAAACACAAGAACCTCCGATCTACACCAGTCCTGACCATCATCAACGACAACGACGATCCCATAACAGTAAACATTTCCGTATGTCGTTCCTTTCACTTCATAACGTTTCGCCAGACAGAGTTATTCAAATGCATTCGTCAAAACGAAGCTTGGCATACACATATCCAGCGACAATGTCCATGCAACAGTGATTCTGTCCACTTCTGAAGTTGAGAGTGTTCTCAAAAGTGAAATTGATTGTGACAGATCATAGAAACAGACTCAGTGTTGAAACTTACAACAGACTTCTCACATGATAAACCTGAATGTATCTTCAGCTTCAGACATTGACTTGAAGAAAGTTGTGAGCAATTACTTGGCAAGGAAGAAAAGAAAACTGTAAATTGTCGGCGGGTTTCTTGCTCTACCTCTGCCTCAGCTTAGTACGGAATACATCGTTGTCACTCTCTGTGAAATTAATGTTTGCCTATTCATGATCGTAGCCACTGAACATGATACGAAAGTAACTGTCAACTACCAGATTGCATACGGCATGGTAAGCTTCAACAATGTGGACTACCAGTCAAAGGATATATTGGAAATCACCTTTCACTCATTTGATACTCTGCAACTCCAGAGCTCAGGAGATCTGCCAGGAACGTGGGTGACCGCCACAAAGCCAGTTGCAGTCTACTCCGGGTCGGACTACACTGAGGTTGATAACTACAAGTTCCAAAAAGGCAAAGATAACATAACAGTGAGTGAGTGAGTTAATATTTAACGTCACATCGGCAATATTTCGGTCATATAGTGACGGGAACAAGGTAATTTATATCAATATTAAAAGCAATAAATTTAGAACATAAAAACCTGTCATCGAAGGCCAGTAAAAATACTAGAGCATCACAGATATAAATTTAAAACTAGTACACTATCATAAAATTAAATCAGTAGAGACAGTACAAAATAAAACGGGCTATAGATCACCAACAACTGAAGGTTGATCACCATACTAGGATCCATGGGGACTTACAGTAATTTTGCTACCTGCATGGAACCTAGCTGGATTTACACCATCCCTTCAGCTGCTGGCGATTATGCTGAGTTTTAGCCATTATTAAAAAGAACAAATATACCACGTTTAAAAGTTTGGTAGAGCCGAATTGACTTTGATGTTTTGGGACTTATGTACCCTCTCAGGGGGACAAACATATTACGATACGTTAACCCCTTTTGGGTACATCCACTAACAATCGCAGCTGCTAATTCATACTACCGTGTTTAAAATACCATTCCTTTATTTACAAAACATATTATTCAAAATGTATGTAATAATTCTATTACTTTTAAAAATTCAATTATTAAATGATAAGTAACATTATAAAAAGATCCGTAACTGTTTTGACATTGAAATATTTATCCCTTGTGATGGAAAAATCAATACAGTCAAGCAGAACATGCAGATAACATAATAGAAAAGATGTCACTGATCTCTGCTCTTGGAACTGTGCATGTGCATTTACAGATCTACCCGGCTAATGACAAAAAGGCTGTTAGCATCAGCCATAATGACTCCATAAATGTAAACGGCAAAACGCACAAGCTGCAGAAACGAAAAATTTTCTTGGACAGTTGTATCCACAGCAAAATGTCCATTATTTGGTCGGCCTATAAAATGTATTGACGGTCCTTATCAAAAACGTTGGCATTTATGGCATGCAGAAGAATATTGATGGCAGCTTGACGGTAATCTACCCTGAAGACAAACACCAGACTCTAATGTCTTTGTCCGATTTAGAGCCCTTCAAGGGATGTAGCCATTGACTATATCTGGCATATGATAGTGACACATGGTAGCTGTGATATCAAACAAAGCTCTATCACAATCAAGCATGAGTTTTCTGATTATCGACATATTATTGACCGTTGTTTGACCGAATGCATATTAACCCTATAGCTTGATCACATGTCCATTTGCCTCCGATAAGCACATATACTGAGTCAAAAAAGAAACCTCACATTCTTTCTTCAGGGCACTATAAAAGAACAAGAGATGGTAAGATGGTTAAATTGTTATTATTTCATTGCTGAGATCTGTGTGATGTACTCGATACACTGGCAGTGCCATAATCAGTTCCATTAGGCTACACCACCGTTCCAAAATATGGTTATACAGAATGTCAAGTCACAAGAAAAAAAATGCGATATTTCTCAGTTCAATATCGTGTATGGCCGCCCCACGCATTCACCACTGCCAAACACCGTTTCCTCATCGACTGCCTGATGCTTGTGAACACGTGGTTGGGGATTCTGCGCCATTGCTCTTGCAAGGCAGCGCCAAGTTCCTGCAAATTCTGAGGTTGGTTCCTAAGACCACGAAGCCTTCTCCCAAGTGCATCCAAAACGTGCTCTATTGGATTAAGGTCAGGGGACCTCGATGGACAGTCCATGACGTTGATTCCAGCGTTTTGAAGGAAATTTCGTGTCAACATCGCGGTATGCGGCCGAGCATTATCATGCTGGAACTGTAGACCTGGGCCATGAGCCGCCATGAAAGGAACGAGTTCAGGGGTGAGCACCTGGTCGCGGTAAGCAGCAGCTGTGAGGTTTCCACGGATGACCAGAAGTCGGGAACGGTTGTTCCCACAGAAAGCACCCCACACCATGCAACTTCTGCCCCCCGAATCTGTCGACTTCCTGTACACAACATTGGGCATACCCTTCACGACGTCGTCTCCAGACTCTATGCCTGCCGTCCGCGAATCTGAGGGTAAACGTGGATTCATCGCTAAAGACGACTCGATTCCAGTCTCTCTCTGGGTCCATCGGAGGTGACGTTGGGCCCACAGCAGACGTTGACGTTGATGAAACGGCGTCAATATTGGCCCACGATATGGACGTCGAGAATGGAGATTGGCAGCCCGCAACCGATTTCGAATGGTCTGTGAGGACAGTCGACCTCTAAATATCTCAGCCCTGGTTCGTGTAGCCGGCAGAAATCTGTCACGTAGGTGACGTAGGACGATTTGACGGTCTTCTGCTCGTGACGTCACACGTGGACGACCCGACCTTGGGCGATCAGAAGTGGTGCCAGTTAGTTGTAGACGACCTCGCATGTCATACACAGTACGACGGCTGTATCCCATTGCTGTTGTGATGTCAATAACTGATCTTCCCGCTTGCAACATGCCAACGGCACGTTCACGTTGCACATTTGACAATCATGGCATTTCAAGTACCGTTAGAACTGTGGTTTCAAAGTGTTTTTTCAATTCTTGAGGCCAATGCAAACCCGTGCATATGAAGAAAACTTCGATGCGAAGATCACGTGATCGACTGCACGTGCAAAACCTGATTTGGCACTAACGTCATTTGCACGACGAACGGATGGGTTTGAGTGGGTTTTGCTAACGTTTTTCTAGAGTCGAAAGATAGGGATCCCATTTCGGATACATAGATGTATCATCAGAGAAACATTATTCATTATTTTTCAAATTACATTTTGTGAAGTTTCTTTTTTGACTCAGTATAGTTTCATAGTTGTTGAGAGCAGCACCCAATAATATTCGTTCCCGAAAAGAACATATGACATGATTGGTTGGTTGGTTTGCTGTTTAACTCCGCTATATGGCGGTCTGTAAATAATCGAGTCTGGACCAGACAATCCAGTGATCAACAGCATGAGCATCGACCTACACAAATGTGATACGACGACATGTGCCAACTAAGTTATCGAGCCTGACCACCCGATCACGTTAGTCCCCGTTTAGGACAAGCATGCGTTGCTGAAGACCAATTCTAACCCGGATCGTCACGGGTGGATCTGATATGAAAAGGTTTGTTACTGACATGTGGTTCCTGGTATTAAGACATGGTTGTATCTCTCCGGGAATGGGGCGTTGGGTTAGCGTGGTGATTCAAGCGTTCGTCAGTCACGCCGAAGACCCGGGTTCGCTTTACCACATCGGTGTGTGTAGCCTATTTGTGGTGTTCCCCGCCGTGATATCTCATGAAGATTGCTACAAGATTTAGGGTTAGAATTGGTCTTCTCCAACCCACGACCGTCGCAAGAAGCGATTTACCCATGTGGGAAATCGAACCCAGTGAGTAAGTCGGCAATATTACGGCGGGGACACCAAACGCTTTAACCACTAGGCTACCCCACATCCTCGAAAATATTTACAGACCGTTGTTATAAATATGGAGCATCGCAACATGAAATAGATAAATGTTGTCAAAACAATTAATTTCCCTGAACTCAATATTAAAATGAACTCATCTATTAAAAAACATATTACTGTACATAAACTGAAAAAATAGTCACGATAACTGGGATTTATTTCTATGGAGTCCCATTACTACACTGCATCGTGCCCTACGATGTTGATCGGTGCTCATTAAACTAGTCATGTGACAGATTGGTACTGACTCGTGTACCTTAAATAACAAGCAAGCAAAATAACAAACAAACCCCAAAACAAAAACAAAAAAAAGTGAGTATGGTTTATGCCGCTTTTAGCAATATTCTATCATAACCATATGGGGAATCGAACCCGGGTCTTCGAAGTGACGAACGGACGCTTTATCTACTAAGATAAACACAACAGAACACAAACTGCGAATAATCTTTAATGTTGAAATATTAGGAGTAGATTGAAAAGGTTACTGTAAACATATATTGATAATGACTTAACTTGCCCAGTGACATCGAATAAAACCCATACATTGTAACTAAAATCCAGTTTGAGAAGCCAAATGATGGTACTCTTTTTTTCAAATTCAAATTTTATTCAGTCAGTGGTGTATACTTTCAGAGACCATGGGAGACACCTGTTACCGACGGGCCGAAGGGAATGACCTTCTGCAACAGTAACTACTGGAGAGTGTATCTCTTACAGCGTGGATTCTCAGTTGACCTGCTGTTTGGTCATGTGCATTGGTTCGTCAATCAGTGATGTGTGTCCATTTTGAATTAAAGGAAATAGATTGCTATTCCATATCTTAGCAAATTACTGTAACGGTTCCTCTGTAGAATGCACTTCCTGATGTAATTCCTCTACAAGAATGCAATAAATACGTCAGGCACATTAATCCCCGAGTTACTATTTTACCTGGCAATTTGTCAGTTACATAGGCCTTGCAGTAAGTATCGACAATTCGACCAGCTTAATAGGAGATAAAACTAATGATGTTTGAAAATTAGTTTCAGGTAAACTGAATCGATGGCTTCTGAACTTAAGTTAACTGAAGTTAGTTGCCAAACAAAACAGGTTCATCACTATTCAATCATGGCCAAGTCACATTCAAACTTTTTCGCTCCGCGGATGACCACGAATAATCCATATTTACTGTCAAACATTGTAACGAAGATCCGGGTTAGAATTGATCTTCAGTGACTCATGCTTGTCGTAAGAGGCGACTAAGGGGACATGTTGACACAAGTCATCGTATCCTTGCGTAGATTGATGCTCATGCTGTTGATCACTGAATTGTCTGGTCCAGATTCGATTATTTTATTTTATTCTATTTTTTTTATTCATTCCCATAGTTGCATATATACAAACATATCATTGCAACAGAAGTGAGTGAGTATGGTTTTACGCCCTCTCCGGAACACTCCAGCCATATCATGTAGGAGGATACCAGAAATGGATCCCACAGACAGTGCCCCTGGGATAGATCCCGGCTACTCTGCCGTGACAGTAACAAAAGCAATATACAAGTAAGATAGGTTGACACATACTAGCTTCTAAAACGTGGTTGAACAGTCAATGATTGAGAAAAGGGATGAGAAGGAAACCATTTTTTTCAAAATTTTCTACATAATTGTTTCATTTAGAATTGTTTTTTTCTGCAAGAAAGATGACTTATAAGGTCTGTTTTCAGGCCTATTCCAAAAAAAATTGAAATAGTAGGTCTGTTTTCAGGGAAATAGTTGTTTACAGTCACGAAACAGATGAAACGTTGGAAAGCGGCGGACATACTATATTTTATATAAGTTTGAGATTTCAAGTAATTGGAGACGATACATTTCGTACTGTCAATTTTTTCACAGCGTTTTGATGAGGGACGCGTCAGTGTAGTAACTCATCAAGAACTTCAGATATTTAGGAGTTTGGTTATGCCACTATCCAGGCCAGCGACAAAAGAGTGACAGTGGGTCGAACGCCGTGATTTGTGAAAATGTAACTAACGTTGGATTCCATGGAAATTGTTTGTATCTTTGGGGACAGAGGATTTTATTTAAGTAAGTTGGTATATGAATTAAACAGGATTCTGTGGTGTTAATTTGGACTTACATTTTGCTAAAATGACGCTGATTTCTGCGGGTAAACCCCAAAGAATTTTATGTGATATACTGTTGTGTGAATTGACAGAGATTAAAATTTGTGACAGGACCGTGGTGATGAGTAGAGGCGTCTGTTGATCGCGCGTTGGATGACAAGAGTGGGAAATGTGGTGTAAAGTTGGCAGTCGGCAGTGTGAAGTTCTGCATGAAGGTTTTCCGCCAATTCTTTAGAAAGTGTCAAATTCGTGCGATATTTCATCATGTGTCAGCCATTCTAAATTAAAACACACATTTTCATTTTATGTTGGAAGCAGTCATAAAATCGTGTTTTCCAGACCGCTGTTTATCAAATTGATTATGCCGAACTAAAGTGTTGAGTTTGGTTATGTATGACCACTGACTGCGTGAAGATAAGTCCATGTCTGGAATAAACTGCTGCATTCATGTCCATTGGATTCTGGACCCGTGAACATCGGGTCGACTCGACATGCTTGCCGTAAGAGGCGACTAACGGGAACGGGTGTTCAGACTTGCTGACTTGGTAGACACATATCACCGTATCCCATTTTGTCGAACGGTTGTCATACTGTGGGTCACTGGATTGTCTGGTCCAGTCTCGAGTAGACCGCCGTGCTGAAGCGTGAATGTTGCTGAGTGCGGCGTTAAACAACAACCAAACCAAACCATTGGATTCTGAAGCTATTTCGCTGTGGATGTTTCCAACCATTAGTGAGCACGATACAATAAAACAAATTCAAATTGTTGAACTGCGTCGTTTATTTCAGCGGAACCTTCGAAAGAGCTCAACGCGTCATTAAGGCACAGAACATTTTGTCAGAGCATTAGAAATCTAAGTTCAAAGGAAAGCAATTATTATTCAATTACCGTGCCACTTTTCTGAAATGAATGTTAAATATTACGCGAGATGATAAAACACACTGCAATATGTGTAAACATCAGATTTTGTCAGAAGGAATCGTTCAAACCCCTGCTTCATTCTATGTGATAACATGAGAAATGTCTATGAAACATAATTACCGATGGTTACATCTTTAATGGGTAATTAAAAAATCAGTTTTTAACTGTAATAGAAAAAACGTATTTCACACAATGAAATAAATAATTAACATTACGTATTTGCTGTCTTTTGATCATAGCAAGTATCTGCTTCGAATATCTGGGTATTATTTACGCAAGGTGGCAACTAACGCGTCAGAATACGTATCCGTGAAGACAAAGATTACGACACAGAACACACATCCAGTGGGCTAAAGACGGAAATCGTATTACTTGAGGAGCACACTGAGAAACGTTGTCAGCAACAATGATTTGATGATGAACGTCACCTGCACGGACCCAGATCTCGTATCTGAAAGAAAATGTTCACTTTTAGCTAAATATGCGTTGCGTTGGGTCTGTAGGATGGCGCTGTGATAAAAATGTTGCTATCTGTCATCTCAGCCCTAACTTGAGGGCACTCGTGAAGAGCAACCTCCTCGTGGTGAGTGCTGGGTAACGACCCGGGGCAGAATAGGTCCACAGCACCCATTGCTGGTCGTAAAAGGCGACTGAATTGGGCAACCTGTTTGCCGTGGGTTGCGCCCCTGTGTCGGTGGAGGACGGGATTCTGGTGGTTGAGGGCACTGGCTCCAGGAACAGAGAGGCAGAATTGGCCCGGTTCTATCAATCGGCTGGTCATGCCGAGCCCTGAGCATTATGTTCTTGCACAAATTGTTAAACTACAAACATATGTTTTTCAATGGTCTTGGCCGAGTAATATTTCACTCGAACCGTTATAAAACAAACATGGATTACTAAACACCCTTAAAAAACAAACAACAACAACAAAAAACCAAACCCAAACGTCCACTTGATGATAATGAACACAGACCCACCAAATCAAATGACTACTGGTCACGCTTTACAGTGATCGAGACTCTGGGTAAGATGCCATTGAAATTGGACCCTTTTGCGGTATCTGAGGGAATACAACGAATTGCTGGTGACGTTAAACACATTAAACACCTGCTCAGTTGTTGGCGATCCATAGCCTGTTGTTATATTGTATCGTCTTCTATAGTTAAACTGGTTTTGATTTAATTGCTAGTTTTAAATTTATATATGTGATAGTCTTGTTGTTTTAATGCCCTTCGTTGACAGGTGTTTATAATTTACTTTTAATCATTATAAATCTATAACTTGATTTCGTCACGATAAGGCTGAAATATTGCCGATGTGACTTAAAATCTTAACTCTCTCATTCACTCATTAAACGCCTGCGTCGAGGTACTCTATTTGTTGAGGCAAAAGGCAGTAAGCTACAAACCTGATGGCAACTGAATCATTTGTTGACATTCCTGTGTCGGTCTCAGCACACAGAACCCTTAACACCAGTAAAGGGATAGTGCGAGGCCGTGATCACTTGTTTGCTGACATGACAGAAATCGATTTTGTGCTGGATATAAAGGATCAAGGTGTACCTATGTTAAGCGATTCACAACCCTTCAAACAAATACGTATATGTTTTCATTTCCATGACCTACAGCTCCAAAATCAGTAGAATCTCGCTACTGTAACATCAGTGTTGATACGTATATTCCAAATCCCGTGATCACTGGATCCGTCAATTTACCGACCAATTTCACTAAGTAGCGGTGTTTGCCAAACCAACATGAACAATAATTTACTAGTTTGGTACTTAGAAAACAATAACGTAATAATAATTGACATTTAATGTGGTTTTCGTAAAAACAGAAGTAACACTGATCAGTTTTTACGTTTAGAATCATTTGTCAAAAATGCTGTAATTAATAAACATCTGTTTCGGTCAAGAAAAAGCACCCGACCCTACATGGAAATACGGCATTTTAAAAGATTGACATGGTTTTGCATTGAGAGGCCGTTTGCCTCAATTTATATCCAAGTTTTTAAATGACAGGCAAGTCCAAGTAATTTTCCATTTTGTATCTCTTGTGATGAAAGAATCACAGTCAGACATGTATTGATTGACTGTATTGATTTTCCCATCACAAGGGATCAATATTTCAAAGCTTTATTCTTGAATGACCCTCTTAATAATGCAAGTTATCATTTCATCATTCCATTTTTAAAGAAATAGATTTAAATGATACATTTTGAATTTGTATTGTAATTAGTAAATGCATTTAATTTGTTAGAATGAATAAATAATTGTCGACTGTTAGTGGCAATACCTTCAAAGGGGGTTGAAGTAGCGTAACATGATTGTCCCCATGAGAGGGTATGTTAGTCCAATTACATTCAAAGTATTTACACATACTACGTATTATAATCTCTGAATATGTGTAACGTCAGATTATATTTTACTACAATCGCCAACGGCTGAAGGGATGATATAAATCCCGCTGGGTCCATGCAGGTAGCAAAGGTACTCTAAGTCGAAATGTCCCCTTTGAACAGTGATGTATCTTCGGTTGCTGGCGGTCTATAGCCTGTTTTTTTATATTGTATTGTCTTCTACAGTTAAAATGTTTGGATTAAAATACAGTACTAGTTTTAGATTTAAATGATGTTCTGGTGGTTTTTACTGTCCTTTGTCGATAGATGTTTCCATTGAACTCTGTTTTTATCATGCATTTAGAGTTTGTTTAGTCATGATATTGCTGAAGTATTGCCGATGTAGCTTTAAATATTAATTCACTCACTCTAACTTGAGTTTTCCACAAGTATGATACATAAGCGGACCTGTCTCAGAAGCTTACGACTTGTAAACGTTGACTCGATTAATCAAGTCGTTTCCATTTCCACGTTCATAACACCAAAAGCAGTTACCAGCAAACAAAGAAAAAATACAATTCGAATAATACATGTTTGTAAGTCGAGCTATTTCACTAACATTCTCTTGATCATTAGTTACAGCGTCACATTTAAGTATAACCGAGTTTAAATACAAAGATCATAATCTCAACCTTAGAACATCTACGGTTATGGAGGTGTTCCTGTGGACGAATAGCGGAAATTAACAGAAATGTATCCGCAAGATCAATACTTACCACAAGTGTCTCCTGTGTAACCAGTAGCACATGCACATGCGTAAGGCGTTGCAGTTTTGTTGCACGAGCCGCCATTTTCGCAGTTATCGTCAGCAGTACAAGTCGGAGCTAAAAACATGAAACATAGTATCACATTGTAAATAATATGGCAATGTGGGTGGAGCTAGTGACACATCAATATTAATTTGCCATACTCTCTTTGGCTATAATGACAAGACTGTAAGAGCTGTATTGCACCAGTGATATACCCTGTCATATCTAAAGAGCGGTTTCCCCCTGTCCCTCTCCTGCCCAAAATACTTGTAGACATTAACAATCAGCGTATCCATATCAAGAGCCATGCTTGTGACTGCACACACAACACAGTGTGAAATATATTGATAGTGAGACTCCATGGTAGCTACATCCTTAATAGTTTCAGTATTTAATTTTTTAATTTTTACGTCAGCTATCGTTTATAATGAAGCTAAGTCTCATTTAAAAGTTAGTCAGTGTAATACAATATCCTCGCACACTTATTTGCATAAAGCCATGGTCTGTTCCAAATACGTGATTTTGGACATTGCTCATTTCTGCACTGATTTCTCCTTGGGAAACGTAAAAAAAGAACTTTACTATCTCCCTACCACTGAGACTGTACTTAGGCCGAATTTAGTTTAACAGCTATGTCACACTTTCACATAATAACTACATAAACTGTAGATATAGATGTGAAAAGATTTTTTTCTGACATTACTTTGAACTATTTTGGTCATATGGTACATGTGACCATGGTTGTTGCGGGTACTCTTTTTCTTGACCTACCATCAGCACAGGTAGCTCCACCGTAGCCGGCAGTGCAGGTACAGACATAGGGAGAGCTAGTTTTGTACACGATCCCGAATTAAAACAGTCAGAGTCCTGGGTGCAAGGCGGATCTGAAACACATGTTACAAACATATTAAATACTGGTCACTGATGAGGAAGTTAAGAATAATCTCATCGGTAATGTTTCAGACATATGAGGTTGTTCTTTATTTCAGGACATAAGTGGGCCAACGACCCCTGGTACAACATTAATTGGTCCATTACACATAAGTATGTACATACATGTATATGTGTTACAGAAATGTAGATGAGCTATGGGGCAGTTCACTTTACTACAGCATGTCTAAGCTGCGAGGCATGGTAAATGAAACAGGCTAAATTTCTAACAACAGATGTTTGGTTAGAAGACATGTGTATATTAAATTTTGTCACAGTAGGATATTCGTAATATTTCTTGGCAATACATGTATATCGTTGAACAGACCGGCTTGCATAACAGAAACACGTGTCGTTTTAAGTGCAGTCGCTCGAAGGTAAGGTATAAGGCTGTACTATTATCAATGTTACACTCATTTTTGTGCAGCCTACTTTTAAATCCATTGTGTTTTATACAATAACATTCCGGGTTGAACTATTTCGGTCATAAACATGGTAACATGATACATGTAATCATGTTGTTGCGGGTACTCTTTTTCTTAACCTACCATCAGCACAGGTAGCTCCACCGTAGCCGCCAGTGCAGGTACAGAAATAGGGAGAGCTAGTTTTGGTACACAATCCCGAATTCAAACAGTCAGAGTCCTGGGTGCAAGGCGGATCTGAAACACATGTTACAAACATATTAAATACTGGTCACTGATGAGGAAGTTAAGAATAATCTCATCGGTACATGTTTCAGACATATGAGGTTGTTCTTTATTTCAGTACATATGTGGGCCAACGACCCCTGGTACAGAAATTAATTGTCCATTACACATAAGATGTACTTCCATGTATATGTGTTACAGAAATGTAGATGAGGTATGGGGCAGTTCACTTTACTACAGCATGTCTAAGCTGCGAGGCATGTTAAATGAAACAGGCTAAATTTCTAACAACAGATGTTTGGATAGAAGACATGTGTATATTAAATTTTTTCACAGTAGGATATTCGTAATATTTCTTGGCAATACATGTATATCGTTGAACAGACCGGCTTGCATAACAGAAACACGTGTCGTTTTAAGTGCAGTCGCTCGAAGGTAAGGTATAAGGCTGTACTATTATCAATGTTACACTCATTTTTGTGCAGCCTACTTTTAAATCCATTGTGTTTGACACAATAACATTCCGGGTTGAACTATTTCGGTCATAAACATGGTAATATGATACATGTAATCATGTTGTTGCGGGTACTCGTTTTCTTAACCTACCATCAGCACAGGTAGTTCCACCGTAGCCGGCAGCGCAGGTACAGACATAGGGAGAGATAGTTTTGGTACACGTTCCTGAGTTCAGGCAGTTGGCGTCCTCCGTACATGCATGTGCTGGAACACGTCGAGAACGGCATGCATAACAGAAACGCGCGTCGTGTGCAGGCGTTCGATTGTAAGGTATAAGGTTTTGCTATAATCATTGTCACTGTCATTTTTGTGCAGCCTACTTTTAAGACCATTGTGTTTTACACAATAACATTCCGGGTTGAACTATTTCGGTCATAAACATGGTAATATGATACATGTAATCATGTTGTTGCGGGTACTCTTTTTCTTAACCTACCATCAGCACAGGTAGCTCCACCGTAGCCGGCAGTGCAGGTACAGAAATAGGGAGAGATAGTTTTGGTACACGATCCCGAATTCAAACAATCAGAGTCCTGGGTGCAAGCCGGATCTGAAACACATGTTACAAACATATTAAATACTGGTCACTGATGAGGAAGTTAAGAATACTCTCATCGGTAATGTTTCAGACATATGAGGTTGTTCTTTATTTCAGTACATATGTGGGCCAACGACCCCTGGTACAACATTAATTGGTCCATTACACATAAGTATGTACATACATGTAGATGCGGTATGGGGCAGTTCACTTTACTACAGCATGTCTAAGCTGCGAGGCATGTTAAATGAAACAGGCTAAATTTCTAACAACAGATGTTTGGATAGAAGACATGTGTATATTAAATTTTTTCACAGTAGGATATTCGTAATATTTCTTGGCAATAAATGTATATCGTTGAACAGACCGGCTTGCATAACAGAAACGCGCGTCGTTTTAAGCGCAGTCGCTCGATTGTAAGGTATAAGGCTGTACTATTATCAATGTCACTCTCATTTTTGTGCAGCCTACTTTTAAATCCATTGTGTTTTATACAATAACATTCCGGGTTGAACTATTTTGGTCATAAACATGGTAATATGATACATGTGACCATGGTTGTTATGGGTACTCTTTTTCTTAACCTACCATCAGCACAGGTAGCTCCACCGAAGCCGGCAGCGCAGAGACAGATATGGGGAGAGCTAGTTTTGGTACACGTTCACGAATTAAAAAAAGTCAGAGTCCTGGGTGCAAGGCGGTTCTGACATACATATTGTGTAACTTACGACTGGTCGCTAGTCATTGACGTATACGTAAAAACGAATGGTATAACAAACTTTATTGGTATACTAAAGAGGCTGTCTATGTGGCTGTGCATCGAAAAACCTACAACATTCAAGCAGATTCCCGGATACATGGTCCTATATAAGCAGTACCCATTTATACAGGTGCAGGTTTAGTTGAAGGAATGCTAGGTATGGGGTTGTCACAGGTGAGAGAGAGATATTTAGTTGTGAATGCGTGTTTACTTGTATGTGGTGCAAACCAAGTTGGAATTGTACTTTGGATGCAGACTTTAAACTCCCCACTTACACATGGATGTATCAGAGTGATTAAGAGAATCGTGTTTTCAGTAAATGCATTCTTAAACTTCTTGACAGGATATTTTGCTGTTTATGTATTTCGTTGCAACCACGGGAATGAAGATTTGAGAATTGCTTATTAACTGTGACTTTTCGATGGAAGCAATTCTATAGATACTATATTGTGCTCGTCGACATTTTGACTTCTCTCTATCATGGAAATATCTGTACAGACACTCTAGAGAGTAAAATGTCTTTTTATTAAAATTGTGATCCGAACCGAAAGAAAAAACCCTTTCTCTACCTGTTTCACAATTGTCTCCGGCGTAACCGTCGGTGCAGGTGCATATATTGGTGGCACATGTTCCATGATCGTTGCAGGAGGCGGCATCCGTACAAGCTGCCTTGGAGGGCTTGATGTGGAGTAAACAAGCAGTCGCTAAGAAGGAAACGGAAAAGATCAGGGTACAGGATCACAGCATTCAATGTCACTTGAACGAATCACAAATTAGTGATACATTAAATAAGATATTGTCAAGAATGACACTCTATTTCCCCCCCAAAATATTATCACACAGCATGCTAGAGTACAATAAATAGTTTTACTTAATAGTAGATTGGGAGTATGAAAAGTGTTTGAAGTATGAGTAGTGTTGACTCAACATTCTGGATGTAACCAGCCCTTTCATATATTCGGATGAACAGTGATGAAAGGACTGTAAATCTGTAAATAGCAAAAGGCACCACTTTGGGATCCACCTCACATATCTGCCAAGTTTTGCTGAAAGATATTAAGAAGTTTTCGAGTTGTGCTCCGGAAACGAAACCCATCCCTCCCTTTTGAAACTAAGTCCGAAACGTTTCCAGTGTGAGTGAGTGAATTAAAATTTAACGTCACATTGGCAATATTTCAGCCATATCGTGACGAGAACATTTGACATTGAAATAGAATATATATATAGATATTATAAAAACCTGCCGACGAAGGACAGTAAAAATACTAGATAATCACAGATATGAATATAAAACTAGCGAACAAAGCTAAAATATTCCAATTAAAGAAGACAATACACTATAAAACACGGGCTATAGATCGCCAACAACTGAAGGTAGATCACCATACTAGGAACCAAGGGGACTTACATTACTTTCGCTACCTGCATGGTCCCTAGTTGGATTTACATCATCCCTTCAGCCATTGACGACAGAAGAGAAATCTAGCCATAAATTAAAAGCACACATGTTCTACGATTAAAAACGTGGCAAGCCTATATTTACTTTGAAAGTTTTGGGGACTTACGTTCCCTCTCAGGAGGACAATATTTTACGCTTCTTCAACCCCCTTTGTCGATACAGCCACTAACAATCTCAGTGACTAATTTAAATTACCAATAATAAAATATTTATCTATTTACAAATCAGTTAACCAATCTAATTCTTTTAAAAATTCAACTAATAAATGATAATTAACATTATAAAAAAGATCCTTCAATGTTTTGACATTAAAATACTTATCCCTTGTGATGGAATATTCAACACAGTCAAGCAGGACATGCTTGACCGTGATTCGTTCATCACAAGGGATACAAAACGGAGGATCCTCACCTTTCAATAGGTACTCATGAGTATATCTTGTGTGGCAAATACGACATCGTCGTATGATGACCTCTTCAAATCTGGACTGACAACCCAAGTAGGTGTAACCAATATAAGGTTTTATTGCATGTAGTTTATTAATACCTACTTGGTTGTCCCACTTCTTCTGCATCAGATCACGGATGTAAGTTCTAATGCCAGCTTTATAATCAGAATATGGAATAAGAAGTGGTGTCACAGATTTGTTGAGTGCTGCCTTGGCAGCAAGATCAGCCATTGTGTTCCCAGAAATGCCAACATGGCTGGGTAACCAACAGAAGACGATGTCGTATTGGCCAGTAGCAAGATCATTATATAATTCGATTATTTCAATTAAAAGTGGATGTTTGCAAGAAAGATTTTTAATAGCCTGAAGGCAAGAAAGAGAGTCAGAAAATATTATATATTGTTTACGTTTGGGATGTCTTTGAATATATTTAAGAGCTGTTAAGATGGCGTTTGCTTCTGCTGTAAATATAGAGCTGTTATCAGGCATTCTAGAAGATATTGTTCTGGATCCAATGACAGTGGCAAATGCCACTGCGCCACCATCCTTGGACCCATCTGGAAATAAGGGTTTGTATGTATCATAATTATTCTTTAATTGATTATATTCTTGTTTATACTGTAATTCATTAGTTTCAGATTTTTTACACTTTGTCAGTGTTAGGTCAACTTGTGGCCTCACTAATTGCCAAGGAGGAGAAGAAAGAAGACGGGAAGGAAATATATTCTCCAACTCAATGCCAGCAGCAGAAATATATTGTTGGATTCGTATCCCAAGAGGTGGAACGAGTGAAGGTTTTTTATTATACAAATCCTCATAAAGAGGATTAAAAACACCAAGTGTGAGAGCAGGATTGGATTCATTAGAATATAACTTTGTGATATATTGTAGGGACAATTTGATACGGCGAAGTTTTAAAGATGGTTCATCGGCCTCAACGTAGAGACTGTCAATGGGAGAGGTTCTGAAAGACCCAAGACAAAGTCTTAGACCCTGGTGATGGATAGAATCAAGTAGTTTGAGGTTGCTTTTACAGGCCCCACCATATACGATAGAGCCGTAATCAAGTTTCGATCGGACCAGTGATCTATACAAATGAAGGAGGGTGGTTTGGTCCCCTCCCCACTTTGAACTGGAAACGACTTTCAACAAGTCGAGTGCCTTCAGGCATTTAGCTTTTAGATGTTTGATATGTGGCAGAAAGGTTAAATGCGAATCAAAGATGAGACCAAGGAATTTAGCTTCCTTGACAACTTTGATGGGTGTGCCATTTAATGATAATTCAGGATCTTTATGGTGTTTGTATTTCCTACAAAAATGGAGACAATTGGTTTTGGATTTCGAAAATTTAAACCCGTTTTCGAGACACCCTTTATGAATTTTGTTGAGACAAATTTTTTTATTGTCTCTCAATAGTTCGCATGTTTTTACCACGGCAAGAAATATTAAAATCATCCACAAAAAGAGATCCATCGATTGAATCACTTAAAACCTTTGAAAGACTATTTATTTTAATACTAGACAAGACAAGACAAGACAAGAATTTTATTGTATTCAAGGCCTCCGGCCCATATACAGTTTACAGAGTTATACAAAAATATTTTTTACAAGTAAGTTGTAACTAATGTTTCAACAATTGATCTCTTAACTTACTGGAGTGTTTTATAAACAATGACAGATTTCTAATATTTTGTTCATTGCAAGAACATAATAGTGATTTAAAAGTTACATCGGGGGGTTTTGACAGGTAATACTCCGGTATATATTTCTTTCTAATGTCAGCATAAGATTTACAGATAAAGGTGAAGTGAATTTCGTTTTCTACTGCTTCTTTACATAATGGACAGATTCTTTGATTCCTCTCGATGGACATTTTCTTCCTTCATTTACCATTAAATTTAGCAAACCTAGTCTGAATTTTATAAATGTATACCTTAAATCGTAGCATCTTAGTACAGATAAATATTTTTCTGGTTGTAGTAAAGTTTTAAATGTCCTATAAAAATCATAGCGTGTGCTATTATTCAAACGTGATTGCAATTCCTGGTGATACATATTAATAGCTCGATTGCATAAATCATTAATAAAAACATCGATATGACCAACAGTTTGGTTTAACCAGACATACCCATAACCATGAGAAAATAATAAATATCTTAAACTTGAAGCCCACGTTACTTTGCCAATACTATCTAAATGAACCAACATATTATAGGACAGTTTTGGAATACGATGGTTAGGCATTTTAAGAATTTTAAACCAGTATTTTAAACATCTTATCTGTGAATTTATGTAAAGTGGGTATCTCCCGCACTCCCCATACACCATAATATTTGGTGTTGACGATCCAACTCTCAAAAATCTTTTACATGCTAATAAATGTATTTTTTCTAAACAATCGAAACGTTGAAATCCCCATATTTCTGAACCATATAATAAAATTGGTTGTATTTTGGCATCAAAAAGTTTGAAAAATAGACCTGGTGTTAACATTCCAGTCTTGTAAATAACCGGTATTAACTGGAAAAGAGCTTTCTTAGCACGTAGGGAGAGATCATAAACACTTTTTTTTCATATTGAAGGTATGATAAAAACGAACACCGAGGTACGTGTAACAATCAACTGTTTTCACAAGTTGTTTACCAAGAAACCATTTATCTTTCTGAGAAATGTGACCACCCTTCCGAAAAATAACTACATTGGTTTTGTCAAGATTTACTGAGAGTTTCCATTCCTTAGTGTAATTATCTAGAATGTTAAGTTGTCGTTGTAAACCCACCACCGTATCTGATAGTAAAATCACATCATCTGCGAAGAGAAGCATTAAAATTTCCAGGTAATCCGGGAACAGTTGAATACCATGTTTTCCATAAGAAACAATATCATTATATAATTCACTGATAAAAAATGAAAATAGGATGGGACTGAGGATGCAACCTTGTCGCAAACCTATAGGACAATCAAAATAGTCTGTTGTACCCGTCTCACAACGGACACAGGACTTTATGTTTGAGTACATTTCCTTGAGCATGGAATACATTTTGCCCCAGAGACCAGTATCTCTTAAGCAGTTCCAAAGTTTGAACCTATCAACTGTATCAAATGCTTTTTTGAAGTCTACAAATGCAGCATAAAATTTATGTTTTCTACGTGATAGACATTTTTGAATAATTGCATATAAAGTGAAGATATGATCAGTCGTGGAGTAGTTTTTTCTAAACCCTGCTTGTGTTTCTGGAATTTTATCGCGCATATTTGCCCATTGGGATATCCTATTGTTCAATATTGTTTGTAAGTATCTTCCCTAATAAACTCATTAGAGATATTCCCTGTAATTATCTGGATTACTAGAGTCTCCTTTTTATGCAGTGCAATAATGATAGAACGTGACCAGCTAGCGGCAAAGTACCGCTGTTAAAAGGTAATTGAAGCATTTTATAAGAAAAGGCATAGTTTCATTTTGCGAACATTTTAACATTTCTATAATAACATTATCAGGCCCAGCTGCTTTCCCCCTCTTTAAATGTCTTATAGCTTCCCTTATTTCCGTTTCTGTTATTGGAGAATCTAAAACTTGTTCATCAACGCTATCATCGTAATCGGAGAATATGGTATCATCTTCAATTGTAGAGGCATTGTTGTTGAATATATCAGTATTTGCAAATATATTTTTGAAGTGTCCGAGCCATTCAGATTTAGAAATAGGAGAAGTTATCTTTCCCGATTCTGTAGCGATCGTATTTGTTTCCAAAATTTTGAAGGAGATTTTGAAGATTTACAAAGATTATCTAGTCGTA